TATTAATTAATTATTGCATATTAATAATTCGAATCAATGAAACATTTGGAAACCAAAAGACGATTCGATTTTCTAATTTGATATATATTTGGCCCATCAACTGACGATCTATTCATTTTTTTTTTAATTCATGCGTATCCTGTGCTTCGTTAACTTGGCGTCTCAAAATCCATACATTCCATACACTGATGACTTTGGTTAAATCTATTGCACGTTGGAACAAGTGAGGATTTCGATTTCCTGATTTCCTGAGAGATAACATTATTTTGAAACTCATCAAAAAATTTCTGTGGCTGATCAATAAAGTTAATTCGTGTGATTCACCGATCAATGACATAAAATACTTAGTGTAATGTGAGGCAAATTTTTGTTGATCATTGATTAATTCCATTTACTTTATACGCAATTTCAGTTTTCGAAATACCATAACTATGTGCCTCAACTTAAATAGTTACTTGATGACTTTGTCATATCATTTCAAAAGTTTTTGTAGTGGGCAAACTCAGATTGTTGCCTTTAACATATAGCTCCTTCTCATAATTCCGATTTGTACAATACAGTCAGACCTCCATACAGTCACACCCTATACAGTCACACTTCTATATTTTTGTGGAACCGATTTTAGCATTACTAAATTACCTCTATATTAGCTATAATCACTATCACACAAAAATTCCTAACATATGTATCATTTTTATTAGTAATTAAACCTCTAGTATCACATAATTTTTTATTGATCAATTTAAGTATTCTATAAAAGGATCTTTTATGTGACATTTTTGGTAAATGTGCAAGTAAATATGTAATGCAAATTATAATCTATTCTCAAATTATAAATTTATGTACTGTACAGTAATTCTTGAATAAAATTTCCATTTTTTTTTTTTTTTTAAAAAAAAAGACCATCCAATTTTTTTCACAATTGAAATTAAAGTATTTTGGACTTACATGATTATTTTAAAATTACTATTTAGTCTACTACTTCTCCTGTAGAAATTTATCTACAAACAAAAAGAATTCCAATAGTATTTTGCTCACAATAGGATTCTTTTTTAAGACATCATTTTATAACACATTTGATCATCAATGCATTTGTAATCATATAAATCTGCAGAAACAGATCATCACTTAAAAAAAACTTTCTCAAAAATGCCTCCTGTTAGACTCAAACCAAAACAGCATCATTCAGCTATAAGTGATAACATAAAACATCAAATATGTGAGTAGTCAAAGGCAAATGAAAGCAAATGACACGTGGATATTACAAACTACTTCAATGAATGTACTCTAATTTAAAGATTGATAGAAACACAATTTCAAAGATTTTGTTACAAAGTGACAAGTGAAAAGCAATAAATGCTGAGGATTCTGCTCAAAAATTTAGATATAAAGAGGTTAAGTTTCCAGTTTTTAAGCATGCAATGAGCCTATGGGTAGAAAATATAACAGCCAGTGGTGTAATATTAATGGATTTGTTAATAAAAAAAAAGGCAAAATCTTTGCTAAAACTTTTAATATTCAAGAAAAAGCTTTAACTTTTTCTAATGATTGGTTGGCTACATAAGTTAAAAAACGTAATAACATTCATAGATACCGTATGTATAATGAATCAGAAAGTACACCTTTAGCATCTCTTTCAGAAAAATGTACAAGGTTACAATCAATTTTAAGTCGATATACTCCTGACTGAATTTATAACATTGATTAAATGTTAAGTTATTTCCAGTTTTTGTCATCACTGTTATTTTCAGAACTGTAGAAAGTATGATCAGCAGACTGGTAGGACCATAAGACCGATCATCTTTATACTGCAATGAAAGTAAAAAATGCTCTCACATTAGCTAAAGTGGTTCAAAAATATAAAACAAACGAATTTATCGATTTTTGCATAAGGAGGATGACTTTGAACTTTTATTAAGAAGGATTTTGATATAATCAGAAATGAGAAAATTAATGGCCATGATTTTTTAAGATAACTAAAAAGAGATTGAACAATATGAAATAAAATTGGATTAGCGACGACTTGTGGACTTCGTTAAGGAGATTAAGTAGAAGAAATTAAAGTATTCTCAACATATCGCAATTTAAAAGACTCTAATGATACAGATTACCATCCTGATATTTTATAAATTTACAAAATTCAAGGTTTTAATAAGCATTTTGAGCATTACATAACGGAAATTTTAAAAATGATAGATCTTTAGCTGTAATGACAATTTTTCATACTGCAATAATTATTACAAAAGATGTGATAGACTTTTTAGAAGCTTTAAAGAATTAATACGAAATGTTATAATTTGATTGAATACGCGTATAATTAGGAATACATAGCATTATAGCATAAAATGTAATTAATTAGAAAACTAATACTATAATATTCTTTATTCTTTAAACATAGAGCCTTTTTTATTGAATGCCTCTAAGTCAAACACTCTTGATAAAACCAGTTCCTGGCCAAAAGAAAGATAAAACACGAATCACAGATCTTCTCAGCGTAAATGCAATAGGAACTAATAAGTTAAAATTATGGGTAATCGGCAATTCAAAGTGCCTAAGACCTCTTTCAAAGATTAATTTGAAGCGTCTTCCTGTTTATTATTGAGGTAATCCTAAAGCTTGGATGAATTTGTCAATATTTGAAAAGGTTTTTCATAAAATGGACAGCTATTTTAGAGTACAAGATAAAAAAATCTTGCTTATGGTTGATAATACTTCATTGCATTTCAATCCACATTATTTATCAGCTATAAAAATTGATCAAGATGAAGAAAATAATGATGAATCATCTACATCTAATAAGTTAGGTTTATTTTTATTTTTATTTATTTTTTGTTTTATTTTATTTTTTTTTTTTAAATATACTAATTATGTAATATAATAGAAAGTTAAGCTTCAAGAAGTCGTGGTGATCATAGTGGTAGATCAAGAAGCTGTGGTAGTTATGATAGTGGATCAGGAGATCGTAACAGTTGTGGTAGACTAAGAGATTATGGCAATCATAGTAGATTAAGAGGTTATAATAATCGTGATAAATTGGAAAAACATCAATCTAACACTTTTCAGCTTCCACTAACTCATATTGAAGTAGCTTTTTTACCTCCTAATACTACAAGTCATCTCCAACCACTTAATGTCAGAATCATTGTGAGTTTCAAAACTACTTCAAGAGAAAGTACTGTTATTATATGCTAGATTTATTCAAAGATGAGAAAGACATAAACAGTGAAAGGATTAATATAAAAGAAGCAATAAATTATATTGCAAAAGCATAGGTTGCATTACTGAAGAAACAGTATGGAACTATTGGAGAAAAACTGGAATTTTGTCTTTTTTATCTGATAAAGATAGAGAGACGCATTATAAATCTAACAAGAAGCAATAGATAACGAAACGGCTGATATTGATCAAATAATCAAAGAGTTTGATATTGATGACCCTTCTTCTTTTTTATTGGTAAATGCATTAACCAATTTTTTTCAAGACTTGAAAGAAATTCCAACTGAAGATATTTTAGACGAGAATGATATTATAAGGTTGATCCAAGAGGAAATACATGATGAAAATAATGATTCTAAAGAAGAAGAAATCTTAGTATCTTCCGATGATGCTCTCAAATCTTTAAAAATCTGGATTTCATTTTTGAGCAGCATATTGATGAATTTTATGTAGAAGATTTAAGTTTTTTTAAAAGGTACTTTAAGATCATCAAGCGACTTAAATAACAATCCTGAAAGCAGACGTCAATAATGGATTATTTTAGTTTTTAATAGCATTTATATAGTGTTTGTTTATATTAATAAATATATACAATTTAATAAAACATATATGAATGATAAACTTATTAACAAATAATATATGCATTTATATAGCATTTATAATAAAAACTTTTATATAGTTACTGCATATAATTTTTAATATAGTAGTGATTATATAGAAGTTACCTTTTTATAGTCACATCTTTATAAAATCACAAATTTTAGCAGAACTGATTAGGTGATTATATGGAGGTCTGACTGTACTAATATTTTTCAAATTTTGTGTTTTAAATTTAATAAATACATTTAATAAAAAAAAAAGATAAAAAAATGTATTTTTCATATTTTTCAGCTTAGTTATACTTAGCGTAATTACTTTTTATTGAAGTGCTAAAGTTAAATGTTAAAACAAGAAATAGCACAGTTATTATAGTTTTTTAGTATAAATTAAATTTAAACCATACAAACTCTAAAGAATAAATATATTATTTAGATTTTTTTCCGATCCATGTAATTTAATTGAAGAATTATTACAATTTACAATCTTTATTTATTTTATACAAAAGCTACTAGTATCAACTTTCTAAAATAAATTTTCAACAAACATCTTATTCTTCTAGAAATCATTTCTACATGTTCTTTTTTAGATAAACTAAAAAACCAAGTAATCTAATTTTCAATTGTTTTAAAGAAGGTATTACTTCCATTGTAAGTTTACCATTTTCTGCCATTTCTTTTAACCTGTCTAACATATCTTTTTCCATGTATTGATCACTAGGAATATGTTGTCTTATCATAAAGTGAGTCAATTCTGCTACTACTTCTTTCGCTAATCTTTTTCTGCTACCCTTTTTTTTATATTTCTGATTGCATTTAAGTGTCTATCCAAGTCAGTGTTAACTATGCTTATAAGTTCAATAATTGAATTCTATTAGACTTATAAAATTATTAAGTCTAATAGTCCAAATGACAGAGTTTTTATTAGTCCAATTGGTCCAATAGTCATCATTGATCCAAGTGATAGGTAGAACATATAGTTTCTATTATATTTTAAAAATTATTTGAACAATAATTATTAATTACTTTATATAGATTATTTTTATTCACTCATCAATATTCATTTTTGAAAAATCTTCTCTTGATTCTTTATCAATTTGTGTTTCTTCTCCATTTTTTGCTTAAATAAATTTACTAGTTTATTTCGTTTCAAAATGGTATCAAAACAAATATTTCTTCTATTCAATTCATCTCTTAGTTTATCAACAGACTATCTTCTTAAATTCCAATGATCAGCATTTAACACTATCAAATAAAAATCAATAAAATAAAACTATATGTATGATCTATATTTGAAATGCTATTGAAGAGATAAACTTGTCTAAAGTTTGATATATTGGCATTGTTCATTTTGAGAAAACCTCTGAATGTTCACTAATTATTAGTTCAGATTATACAAGTTCTGTTTTAGTAAACTTATTATTAATGTGTAATTCTTGCAAACTATAACTGTTAGATAGGGTGTTTAAATGTTGATTCTTTTTAATTATATAGTATTCTTTAACGTTTACAAGTTTACTTAATAACTAATTTTCAAGAGTTGTATTTATATGTTCTAAAGAATTGTATTTATTTAAGTATTTCATAAAATGATAATTCACGATTTACCTAATTATGTTTAAAAATAAGTTTATTCACGAGTTAAGAAAGTAAAAAATAAAAGAAAAATAAAAAAGATGATAAGAAAAGAAAATAAAATAAAGATAATGATTTATTAAAAACTAAAATGTAACATGATAGACCTATTTGTCTCTTAAAATTACTAAAAACTAACTTGTAAAATTTTACTTTTTTTATGAATTAAAATGCTACCTATTTATATTAAATACATTATATAGAAAAATAAAACTGATATATCATATATGTTTAATTTAACATATATGACTAAAGATGGGAACTGTAATTAATATGTTGCAACTTTTAATGTTGCAACTTACGTTGTAATTAGTTTTAACCTATA